AAAACATGTACTCACTCACTTGCATTTCACAGATAAAGATGTATTCATGCAACAAATGCTAATACGAATACACATAAAATGGACATTTAAAACCATTGTGTGGTGAACAGGATGTAATCCCATACAGAGAAACAGAATTTGAGAGAGACCTGGGGTTGTACTTGACACAAAAACCTTGGTGTTTTATCCCATACCTTGATAAACATGCAGCACTGGCTCAAAGAAAGGAAGATTTGTTTCACACGCACACGTAATCTCTAACTAATCACATTAGAGTCTGCACTGAGGCAACACTGGGATTATCCTGGTCCGAAAGGTGGAATAACCAATGGATGGTTTCCTACAAGTAGCTGTGCTGCTGCTCACATAACCTTATAGGGAATTCATGTAGGTACGACCAATGAAGGACTGAAATGTGAGCTGTGAATAAAGTTTGCATTTAGAGATTATATATACACACACACACACACACATATATATATCCCAAAGCCCTTTTAGCCCAAAGGAAAAGAGCAGGCCGAGGCAGCACAAATGCGCATTAGGTGAAGGTACAAAATTCACAGCGCCATCTAATGACCCGGCATGGTAACTACAGCGGATTCGGGAGGGCGGGATTCCTCCAGATGCACGTAAACACAAAATCTGACCGTGTCAACGCGGATCTTTTCCTCTAATTAACATACGAAAAAAACTATGCCCCCCCCCCCAATCGTGTCCGTGTAAATAGGGCAGCAACAGATCTGTAACATGGCTTTGTTGTTTACAAATGGAAGAGAGACAATTAATGGGATCAACGCAAAGATACTGATAACTATTGGCATTTTTTTTTAACACATAAATGGGTTTTTTGCTGTCAAGGTTTTATTTTCACTGGTAAAGTTTATAAAAAGCTTACTTCTTTTTTAAAAATTATTTTAGACCAAATGACAAGGTGAAACCTGGAAAATCTTTCCAAAAAAGTTTGAAAACACAACATTTGTTTCTTGGATTTAACTTGGACTCTAGTCAAAACCAGTATGACTGCCACTGTTATTTATATTCAAAATGATATATTCTGCAAATGTTTAAGTGTCAAAGAAGACGGTATAAATTCAAACAAGATTGCATCAGTCTTATCTGAATAACTCCTCAGCTGTAAAAGGCACGCCAGTCATGCGTCTGAACCAGTGACCTCTGGTTCATATGTTAAGTGTTGAAAACAGCAGCTCTACAGAGTCTGACAAAATATCCACATGGAACATTCCTTAAACAACTTTTGAAAGAGGGCGAGGAGAGAATATGAAAGTCACAGAGGAGGGAGGCTGTGTTTACACAAAAAAAAAGGTTTTAACTGCGAAAAGCCAGAAGATCCTGCCTAGTGTAAATAGCTTTGGCGTTAGTAAAATATTTCCTGAACCAAAGGACAGATTTGAATAAAAACTCTCAAACCTAATAAAAAGGATGTACATCTATCAGTACTACTGAATAACTTTTAGAAGCAGCGTACTTCAGGGTGGCTACCACAATCAACTGACTTTATAAAAACACAAAAACTGTTATAACTCAGTCAGTTTTGCAGATATTCACCTAAACTTTGATGCGATAGTAGCTTAGACTGATCCGTAGCATGTACAGATGTACAAGAGCTTTATCAGAGTCAGAGTTTCTTTATTGTCATTCGCACCTCATGTGGTACATGTGGTGGAGCGAAATTATGTACACAGGGTCCCAGTTACATCCAACAATAAAATGTATAAGAAAAACAGTAATAACATCTAAGATATGAACTAAGAAAAACATCAACTAAATATACACTAAGCACTCATAACATAAAAACATTGAACATCAGCACAAACATGAACATGAGTCTCTGGAGTCAACCTGGTTTACCAGCAAAATATGTCACGAACCGTTGGACAGATTTTAACTAAATTTTCAGGAAATAAATAACTAGATGCAACTCTAAAATTGATCAACATTTGGAGCCAACTAAATTCAAGATGGCTTCTACAACCAACCGTCTTTATCACAAAATCGGTTATATTTCAGTCATTTTACAGACATGCCAAGATTTGTTGTGATAGTAATTTAGAAACTATCAAATATATACTTAAAAGTGCTATTCATTGTGCTTGTGTGGGAGATAAAGTTAGAGAGGCCAGACCGAGATGGTTTGGACATGTCCAGAGGAGGGACAGTGGGTAGAAGGATGTTAGAAATGCAGCTGCCAGGAAGAAGACAAAGAGGAGATATAAGGATACAGATAGAGAGGACATGGAGGTAGTTGGAGTGCGGACAGAGATGGAGGAGGATGACTCGCTGTGGTGACCCCTGAAGAGAGAAAAGCCAAAAGAAGAAGAACAAAGAAGAAATTGTTCTTTGTGCACAATTTTCATTTAAAACTTTAGCATTAACTGTTAAACTTAACCTTTTTCCTGTAAAATATTTTATAAACCAGGGATGAATTTTAATCTAAGCATTCACTGGGTGTATACTTACAACTGATGACCTTTTTGTGTAAACCCATAGCTAATCAAATATTAGCAATAACAAAAAGGTATAAATATACGGTTCAATCTACAAATATTTAAAACAAATTTTGTCGTGGTAACAAGTCATCCCCAACACATAATCGGAGCTTGGCATTTTGTGGTTGTAGCAAGATATAGTGCAAAAAATAATTTTTAAGATTTGACAAATGGGTATAATTTAATAATATTTCCAACATTAAAGACAGCGTTGGTATGCATTCCTTCAAGGAACTCCAAACCTTTTATTAACTTTTTGAATTTGTGGATTTGCATGAGCAAACCTGATCTAACAATGTTATGTTTTCCTGAAGAAGAACAAATGGTTAAAAATATCCATTCTATTTAGATTTTGAAATATTCAGTTCAAGTCAGTTTATTTATATAGTGCCAAGTCAGAACAGAAGTCATCTCAGGGCACTGAACAGAAACATTCATCAAAAGCAATTTAATAACATTAATTATCTGAGGATCAGACTGCTTTGAGTTTAACTCCATCACAGACTCTCATCTTGAGCAAACATGAAGGCGACAGTGGAAAGGAAAAACTCCCTCATGAGGAAGAAACCTTTAGCAGAACCAGGCTCAGGACAAGCGGCCATCTGCTTCAACCAGCTGGGTTTGAGAGGAACAGAAAGGAGGAACAGATACACAATGGCAGGTCCAGAATCACATGCTAAGATGATGATTCAAATGCAAAAACTATTCATTTGTAACAATTCATTTTAAGAAACTAGGTCAATTTGTCCTTCAGTAGTCTAAGCTTATAGCAGCATAACAAGCCAACTCCAACTATAGGATTTATCAAAAAAGAACGTCTTAAGCCCAGTCTTAAAACTGGACAATGTGTCAGCTTTAAGGACAGAAACTGGAAGTTGGTTCCACAAGAGAGGAGCCTGATAACTAGGGGTGCACCGATTGCAGTTTTCTGGCCAATCACCGATCTCTAAAATCTGACCTGCCGATTCCGATTTTGTTTTATAAGCGACACTGTCAGATGTTATAATGTCACAATGCACCTTCAATTTTCCAATCTTATTTTATTGAAAAGCATACCCCTGAACAATATCCTAGAAACAATACAAACTTGTTTAACTGGCCATGAGGTAGTGCTCTGAAATATAAATGAAGTTCAGACAATTGATGTTAAAACTGAAGAAATCGGTAAAATCGGTTTCTTATGCAAGTATCGGCCGATTTCCAATTTCCCAAAATTAAGGAAATCGAGGCCGATAAATCGGTGCACCCCTAACTGATACCTTAAAGATCTTCCTCATATTATGCTTTTGGAAGCTCTAGGAACCGCAAGTAAGTCTGCAGTCTGAGAGCGAAGTGCTCTGTTAAGAAAATATGGAAGATCTGTAATATAAGATGGAGCTAGGTTGTTGAGGGCTTTGTAGGTTAGAAGTATGATTTTGAATTCAATATTGGAATATTAGGAGCACATATCTAAAAAAACAACAATGGCCCCTCTTACCTATTTTTTATTATGAAAATTAAGGAAACACTAATATATATTTTTTTTAAATCATGTTTAATTAGTAGTGTTGTAGGTTATTTTTAGTTATGTGAACATAGTTTCTCTAGTTCAACAGCTAAGTTACTCTTAAAACTGATATGTAAAAGACTGTGTGAAAAGTGAGCTCATCTAACTCAGATTTAACACGAATCGATAGCTGTGATTTAAATTGATAAGTTCCTGCAGATCGTTGTTGGTGGAGCTAACACTGACACAGACTCGAGCTATATGAACCACTTCAGGCCACAAGACTCAAAACACCTCCACTTTCTGCTCCTCACTGTCTCAAGTGCTGGTACTAGAACAAAGTAAAGTCGGCTCCACACGACATTGTTTCTGGGTGAAGCCACGCCACACCCAAAGCGCTCCCTGAAGGACAACTGTGCAGGGGCTTCACCGCCAAGGAGCTCTCTGCTATCCGAGCAGCAGGAGCCCGCAGAGCTACTCAAAACAAGCTCACAGCTCGACGCTAAACAGAAACTAAACGCGTAGAAAACAGGGAAATCACAAATGCTTACTCACTGGATCTCCCCCCAGTCGTGTCCAAGTCTAGGTTACAAATATCATCAACATGACCCGCTTGCCAGAAAGTAGGGGCGCATAATTTACCGACGGCAACGCGTCAAATCCTTTATCTCTCCGTCCGTGTGTGTGGCGGGGACAATCTCATCTTCACGTGGATTGAAATATTTAAATATAAAAGTCAAAATATATCACTGCATGCAGTTAAAGAACGTCTGCATAACAAAACCCCGGAACACCGTGTCTCCATTCAGCTTATTGTTTAGATTCCCGCACAATCACGTACCCTGATTTACTTTGATGTGAGGAGCATCCTGTGATTAAAAACAAACGTACCCAGATCTGTTGACGGAGCTTAACGCTAGCTCGCTAACTCGACGGTTGACGGTGGATTAGCGAATGATGAGGGCTCGCGATAACAAAGTTAATCTTGATCTGGTTCTGTTACTTACCGAAGTGCACACTTGTCTTCTTCCTTGGCCTGATACTCCGGCGGGGACATTAGAGGACAGCGGTATAGGCTCGTTGAAACAGCTGTGTTGTGTTGTGTTGTGTTTTGAATGAAGGCAAGTCCCAAGTAGGTATCTCTGCAGGCAAATTCGGAAGGCGTATCTGGGGGCCACATGTCATTGGACGAGGCGTATCCGGGGGCCACATCTGATTAGACAATAGATAAATAGGCGTGTCCAGAGGGCCACATCTGATTGGACAAAACATTGACGCCTATTGACGCTGACGAGCCGTAGGGCAGCCATCTTGGAAAGGTCGGCCGCTCGGCTCCACTCAGTGTAACCTGTATATATATATATATATATATATATATATATATATATATATATATATATATATATATATATATATATATATATATATATATATATCGAGACTGAA